AAATTAATTGATTTAAAATATTTTTTCGCTACAGAGTTCTAACCATGTTTCAATATATATATATATATATATATATATATATATATATATATATATATATATATATATATAATCAAAACCATAAGTAGTAAGAATAATTCAAGTAAGTATTTTTAATATAAAATATTAAAAAGATGGGTCCATGAAGAGGGCGCAATGTATTTATATACAGATTATATACATCAAGAAGGAAAAACTTAACTCATCATTTGGTATATATATATATATATATATATATATATATATATATATATATATATATATATATATATATACATAACCACTCCGACTCGTCTAGACGGGACTCAATCATTTTTAGTGGGGTGGGGAGCAAGGCTGAATTTGTCATTTCTCCCCAATCCGGCGATGTTAAGTAGCAGAATAGTGTAAGCTCTCTAGCCTTGGGTGTCAACCAGTCTAAGAGAAGAAAAAATTTGAATTTCATACCGTAGAAAAGGCAACGGGAAACAATTCTGCTGTGTTACACCAATTCACGAGTAATAAAGAAAGGTAATCTGTAGAGAGCCATGATCGCCTACGTCTGGACGGAACTTCCCATTTAAAAAAAAAAGTAAAATGTATCATTATTTTGGAAACATTTTGATGTCCTCTACACACACACACACACGCACACACACACATACTCACACACACACACACACACATATATATATATATATATATATATATATATATATATATATATGGCAAATCAATATATATATATATATATATATGTGTGTATAAATCAATATATATATATATATATATATATATATATATATATATACATATATACTGATTTGCCATGAATTATGGGATAAGTGCCTAGAATCGTACATGATCTCCTCTAGCCTTGCGAAATACAGCAACTCGACATGGTATCGATTTCACAAGTAATAGAAAGAACCTTCGTTTTAATCATGCCGTCTCCATAATTGTCCATAGCTCCCTGATATTTATAGGTGCAGGATCTTTCGTGAGAACAGAGCTCTCTACCATGTCTCATAAATGCTCTATTCAGCTCATGTCATGTTAACATAGTGGACAAACCATTCGTCTCCAAAATGCACTTCGAATCAATTCTGTACAACTTGGGACCGAAGTCACGGTGCATTACCGCGCTGCAATAACCTATCGTTGCTGGAGTTTAGGAATACGTGTAAAGGTCGCCTCTAAAGTCATAGCAAAATTACATGTTACTTAAGACTGCTGATTGTTTAGACGAAGCAGCCACCCCAACTTATGTCGTATGAACACATTGCATTTCATTATGGAACCACCGTCTTTTTGCCAACAGGAGTCTGATGGGGTCTGCACCATACCCGAACCCTATCATCAGTCTAGTGATGTCATCACCACTTTAGCTGTATACATAACAATGTAGACCAGTTTACTTAATAGTGCTAGATGAAAGCTGACCCTATAAGAAAGTTCGTCCACCTTTTGGTAGGTCTTGTTTGTAATCATGCTGGGTGTCTAGTCATCCATCTCACCAGAAAAGTCTTTTGAAGGAACCAGTTTCGTCGCCGATGACAGATAGTACTGGATTACTAATATTATCAAGTTATCAATATTTATAAAGCTTAACTGTATCCGGTGTCGTGAGGATAACAGGAGTACCCTGGTGGGTCTTCTGCGACCATATCCTATGGAAGCGAATCACGCTGAGTTAACCTGTCGGATATGCATCTTTTACTTACTGTGGTAGATGTGGGTGTGATTCAAAACAGTTTCGCTTTTCTTTAAAATGTTAAAAATAGGTTGTTTGTGTTGGTCAATGTCCCAGTTCGGTTTTTCTGCCGAAAAAATCAGTATTTGAGATTTCTGTATTATTTTCGTACCGGGATACCTAATAAAATGTACTACCATCCACTATTTACATCACAATGGTCGACAGTGTGTACTTAGTGATCGCAACAAGAGATGTCTAGCTAGAGTTGTCTTTGGTAATAGAAAAGCGAAACTAGTTTAAATCAGATCCACAATCACTACAGGAAATCGAATATCCAATAGATTAATTCAGAGTTTTAGCTTCCATGATATATGGTAGCAGAAGGATCACCAGGGTGCTCCTGTGAACCTCACAACACCGGATAAAGCGCTTCACCTGGACCCTTGATGTCACTAATTGAACACCGGGACGACTAGTAGCGTGGTCTGACGAGTCACAATTTCATTTAATTCTGGGTTTGCTAGTAGATACAGACGCAGCAAGACATCCATTCGATATTCGTACAGAGACTAAGGATTAAGTATTGTATATTCATTGAACATTAATTGGTACATATTTAATACCTGTCAGTGTTCCCGTTGCAAGTCAAAAGGTTATAATTATTCAAATCTCAAGATCAGAGGTCAACAAAGTTGTGAATATCGACCACTGCAGATCAATGGAATTATCCAGGGAGTCATTAAATACCTGGGTGTCGATGGAACTATCATGGTGTCAAACGGATTCCATAAATGCTCGGGATTTAAAAAAGGAATCGATAAACGTCGAGAGACTGATTAAACTTTTTACACTAAAGCTATAGACCAAGAAATCATATTATTATTATTATTATTATTATTAATAATAATAATAATAATATCAGGGTTTCCAGTCCTTTCTGAGAAAGCATATATTATTAGACATGGCCGGCTCGGAAAATATGGTCATTGGCATATCTGTTTGAACCATAGAATTGAAGTCCCGAATACATGGCATAAATACTACCCGAATGATATCATAAAAGGTGATGAAGTGACTATACTGTGGAATTTCCAAATCCTCGCAGACAGGATAACTGATGTAAATAAACTAGACATAGTCATAAATGATTTCAAAGCAGGAACCTGCCAACTAATTGACATGACTTGCCCACAGGATTCCAATATTTCTAGAAAATAATTTCAAAAAGTTATAAGGACCTTCAAATCGAAGTAACAAAAATGTGGAAACTTAAAACTACGATTGTCCTTGTTGCCCTTTGGGGATGATGAAGAAGGGTATTGAAAATCATGGAAGTATAATTCGTGATAAACATCAGCATCTCAGATCTACAACAGATTACTTTATGCGAAACTGCACATATCATCCGCAGAACCCTCTCCATGCGAAACGTAACGTCCCAAATGTGCATAGATAACTCTCCTACAGTCCTATTTTTACTCATAGACTTCGGGTGGAGACTTGGTAATTAGGCACTTAAAATTTCTCTCTGGCAAGATGATACGACGCACAATAATAATAATAATAATAATAATAATAATAATAATAAAGCTATCAAAATACAAGGCACTTGAAATCGAAATCTCAAAAATGTGGCATATGGGAACATCAACAATCCCTGTTGTAGTTGGAGCCCTCGGAGTGGCTGGAAAAGATTCCAGTAGACTAATTGAAGGGATTCTTGGAAGCCTATGCCTTATAGAAATACAAAAAATTGTTCTCACGAGTACAGCCCACACCTTACAAAGGGCTTTGTCTATGTAAAATATTATTATTTTTTATTTATTTATTTATTTTGCTGTGGAAAATGTCATGATGCCATTTCTAACCTTAGGTCTCTGGGTGAAACCTGGAAAGAATTGTGTACACTCCATAAATCAAAGGAAATAAACTAATAATAATAATTGGTCAAATGCTAGGGCCTTACTGGATTGTTAAACCGCTTGATTTGGAAATAGACAATGCAGGCAACGAATCTCTCTTACAAGAATGAATCCATTGTTTTGTGTATGAATCTCGAAGCTAAATCTCTGTTCAAAAGTAAAAAGCCTCAATAACTATTGGAAAAAATGTAAATACTACTCTTAAATATCCTAAGTATAATGCAGCAGTTGAGCTATTTCATTTGGCATTCCCAAATTCGTACAAAGGTGAAGAGGGTTTTGACATTCAATTCTAACTAATCAGCCGAACAGACTGAACTTGGGAGAACGGGGTGACTTGAGACTACAACTCACCAATTGGTGAGATTTAGTTTTAAGTCACCAAAATCAAAATCTCATCAAACACATCCATCCTTCTCATAAATGTTGTTAATCAATTCATTATAAAAGTATATTAATTTATTTTTAATGTGTTTATTATTACCTGTATTATTTATTGAGTTTTTCTATCCATTATTATTATTATTATTATTATTATTATTATTATTATTATTATTATTATTCCTTTGATTTCTGATGTATACATATTTCTTTTCAGGTGTCAACCAGAGACATAAGGTTAGAAATAGTATCATGAAATTTTCCATTGAGCACACACATTTTACATATATAAAGTCCTTCGTAAGGTTTGAGCTGTACTTGTAGGTACATTCTTTTGTATTTCTTTAAGGCTTGGGCTATCAAGGGTTCCTTCAATGGAACTTTTTTCCAATCAAACCGAGGCCTAAAACTATAATTGGAATTGTTGATAGTCTCATGCGAAACATTTTTGAAATTTCGATTTCAAGCTCCTTGTATTTTGATACTTTTTTTTTTTTTTTGAAGATCTTCAAAGATACATTACAATCTGCAGAGACTGCCATTATTATTATTATTATTATTATTATTATTATTATTATTATCTTCTCACTTCTTCTATTATTATCTTAATACCTGATAATTAATGCATTGATAATGAGTCACAGCCAGCAGCCTTAGGTATCATATAATTTTCTTATGACTCTAAGTATTCATCACTTCCCGGGTTATTCTTGGTGTTCCTAAGAGGCTTCCTTTTTTGCAATTATTATTATTATTATTACAACAAACACGTCTTTATAGGAAGACAAATAGAATTTGAAAAACGAATAACAAAGCGTAAAGCGATAAGCTTATTGCGAAACAATAATGAAGGAAAAAGATTAAATGAATTCCTACCTTTATAAAAAACAAGTAATTTTTATTGATATGTTTTGTATAAGCCTGGATGTTGAGAGATTAAATATTTTCATGAAGGGGTCGATGGTCTAAAAACTTTGAGAACTATGCTCAAGATGATTGAAAAAATGTCAGGTAAAATACAAATTAAAATCAAGCAGATACAGATATATAAATATCTGGGAAGTGTTCTAAAAGAGGACAGAATATGCGACACTAAGATCCGAAGACGTATTGGGATGGCCAAAGATGCATTCCAAAAGCTAAGCAGAGTATTAAGAGACAGAAAGATTTCGTTCGAAACAAAGGAAAGAATAGTGAACTGTTACGTGATTATCTGTCCTCCAGTATGGCAGCGAATGCTCGATAATCTTCTAAGAGATAAAGAAGAAACTGGAAGCAACAGAAATGTGGTTCTACAGAAGGATGTTGAGGATACCAAAGAGCTGAACATGTGATCAACGGCGAGGTTTTGGAGAGAATGGAAACAAAGAGGAAACATACTTAAAATCAGGAAGAGGCAGCTGAAATTTCTGGGATACATAATGAGGAAGAAGGGCTTGTGACATCTGATAATCACGTGACGGATAGAGAAAAAGAGGGGCAGGGGAAAGAAATGCGTGTTATACTTGGGTTGGAGAAAATGGATGACAGAAGAGGGTCTAGGAGAGATATCAAAAAGACAAAACTTATTAAGAGCTACAAGGGCAGGAGGATGTGGAGGGCCATGATCGTCTATGTCCTGAAGGGTCACAGCACATAAAAGAAGAAATTAATGGCAATAATTTTTTTTAAATACTTGATGGGCAGTATTAACCCTGATAACCGCACCAGTGGGAAGACACTTCCTGGATTTTAATTGAGATACAAAGTTTTTTCTATTAAAAACAACGTTAATTTTTTTCTAAATACTTGTCTTTTTATTTGGAACTGACTGTCTACGGCTTTGCACACACAAAAAAAATTCCGACTAAAGTTTTCTCTTAATTTTTGCCCAAAAGGTAAAATTGTGGTAATTATTTAATTTAGTAAATGGATTTGGCTTGCAATTAACCTTTTTGGGGGGCAGCAGACCCCAGCACTTAATAATACCAGTTTTATAACAGAAATCCAAAAACTATTTCATTTATTTTTATCCACAAATACGTCGGTTAACGAATGCGGGCCATTAAAAAACAACTGAATATGTCTGCAGCAATATTTTAAGTATTAGTAATTACTACCATTTAGAGAGAGGAAACAGAGAGAGATAGAGGAAAGAACAGTTTGAAAAAACAAACACGCCTGAAACCATTGGTAAAAGAACGGGATGACATGGTTTAGCATAAAGGGCAACCTTTCTTGTTTCACTTAATAAGGAATCATTTTTAAAAATGATTTCTAAAAGGTATTAATCAGTCCCAGAAAAGGGATCATGGTCTTTAGACTATCACCACTAAGAAATTAAATGAAAGAAAATGTAGACAAGAAAACGCGCATGCGTAAACATCCACCCGCATACCAACAAGCCAACACAGAGACACGTGCATGCACATACATGCAGACGTAAATCCAAGCGTTTGTAATTTTTTTTCTTCTTTTTCTTTAATTCCTAAATCTAAAAATCCTTCAAATCTTGACCCGAGGCTGATAGTCAATAGTTAGTCGCCTTTTTTCTCTTTTTCCAGGTGTCTGCCCAGACTTTTGCATTTGTAGCCAAAAGCAATATTTATCTTTCGGTGGACTTCCCGTGTCTTGTGAACAGAAGGAACGGCACGGAGCCGACAGCCAAAAACCCTGTGCGTCCGCCCTACAAAAAAATGAGGATTTAATACGATCCACACACTTCCACGTACCCGGCTTATCCGAAATTTTCTCCCTGCCAGGCAACGATTAGCCAAGGCAGTGACGCATTAGAATAATTACACGATCTATTTTAACACACAGCTCTTCTTATACCCTCTTTTTTTTTCAGTCATTTATTCTTAGACTGTCTTTTTTCAATCAGTTTTTTCTCTGGTTCTATTTTAATTTCTATCCTTTATACTTCTGTTTCTTATTCTTCGCTTATGACACCTTTTGAAAAAAAAATTAATCCATTCCTTTATTACTGTCCCTTACGTTTCATCTTTTTATTTTTTTTTCATTCTTCTTTTTTCTTTTTCTATCTCACACTCATGATTTTAAAGTATTTCCCTTTTTTTGTTTCTATCTCCCTCTATCCTACTCCCACTCTATTCTTTTCTCTCTTTTTAAAATTCCTTTTCTCTTTCCTTTACATTTGCTTTCCTTCATTTTCGTCTTATATGCCATTTCTTTCTATTGCAATAATTTCGCCCTTTCTCTCATCTTTATTCAATATCTTACACATACACACCCATCAACACGTGATCGAACGTCATCAGTAAAATAATTTCAATATATATACATATACACATATATATGTATATATACGCATAAGCATACACATATATGTACATACACATGTATTTACATGCACACACACACACACACATATATGCATATATATATATATATATATATATATATATATATATATATATATATACGTGTAAATACATATACATATATATACGTTTATATATATATATATATACACATATATACACACATATAGAGATAGATAGATAGATAGATAGATAGATAGATAGATAGATAGATTATTATTATTATTATTATTATCATTATTATTAAAACATTAATTAAAATTTCATGTATTTATGAGGAAGAGAACTCAATACCTGAGAAAGAGAGTTTGATGATCACTTGAACCAGGAAACTGACATGCACCATATAATTTTATTTCTATATATATATATATATATATATATATATATATATATATATATATATATATATATATATATATATATATATATATATATATATATATATATATATATATATATATATATATATATATATATATATATGTATATATAAATTGGGATCAATTTCCATTTTATAAATGCCACACTACTGTGATAAGAACACATATTTTATTAGGTAGAAAATACTTAGAAGGAATCCTGGTAAATATTTCCGCATCAATAAACAGACGCCAAACACACTTTATTAGATCACCAACTTCTATTTATACGTTATTAAAATAATTGTCAAATTTAGTCCATTACGTAGTGTGTGTGTGTGTGTGTGTGTGTGTGTGTGTGTGTGTGTGTGTGTGTGTGTGTGTGTGTGCGCGCGTGCGCGCGCTTTCGGTCCCGACGTCTGCAGGACCAACAGTTCAGTTATTAGAATTGAACAATCAGACTAAGTCACTGAGTTACAATCTGGCCACAATTTCTTTAGAATGTCAATTCAAACCTACCGTCAGTAAAATAAAATCATTATGTCAAATTTGTAAGTTAAGCTAATTATCTTAGTAACCTTGCTAATTGGATTTTTATTTGCTCAGATCTCCGGAATATTTGCTTTGTAGAAAAACTTCAAAAGTAGGAAAATGGTCAATTAAATATTATCAGAATTCTGTTCGTCTAGAATCTTAAATTCTCTCAACAAATAATAGAAAAATAATTTTTTGGTTTTTGCTGATTATGTTTTTAACAAACAGTTTTAAATTTTGCTACGTTTGAACTTTGTTTTTTTTTTTTTTTTTTTTCATATCCAAAAATACATCATATTTCGTTGTACAGAGGCCAGCAATTTTAATTTACTAGATTTTATTTTTACTCACAGTATTTAATATTTTTTTGTCGCGATTTACAAACTTTACGTTTAGTTCAATTTCGCAAACCAATCGATGAAATTTGAATAAGTGGATTTTTTAAAAAATACTTTGTAAAAAAACTTTACTGTTAAATAATTTCTTTAATTTAATTTCATAGGACTACATGATAAATAATATTTTTTAAGAAAATTTTATTTTTTCCTTTTTAACAGCGAAGAATAACTTTTTAGGATTTCTTACTCTTAAGCATGCAACATAAAACAGGCCATGCGTAAATATTTCTTTCTGGAGCCAACTTTTGAATCGTTTGGTCTTGTGATTTGTTTATAGTTCTCGAAAACGGAGGGCGAGCTGGAAAATGGATTCTTGTATATAAAAACTTAGAAAAGCTATGCAAAAAAAAATTGCACTTTTATTAAATAAATATCTGTTATTTTAATCATTAAATTGTTTTATAAAATAGTGGAGGCATTTTATATGTTAAATAATAAAACGTGTAATTTTTCCCCAAAAAATGAATTAAAATTTATTGTTCTAATCTACGCACCCTAGTAAAACCAATTTTACTTTGTACCCCCTTATCTGTTTGCACTTCTCCCCCAAATTTGGTTTCGATCGGTCAATATAAGGCTATTTTAGAGGGTGTGATGCACGGACGAACGAACTAACGGAAGTCACACTATTTTATATATAGATTGTATAGGCTAGTCTTGAGCCAAACGATGTTTTAAAGAAATAAATCTTTGTTACTTTTTATATTGATTCACCAACTTCCATCTTTTTCTTTGTTTCTGTAGTGTACTTAAGAAACAAATATTTTTTTTTAAATTATTAATTAAATTAATTAATGATCAAATATAAATTTAAGGAATTAATGAATGTCATTAATTAAAGAACAAATATATACGAAGAAATTAAGGAATAATTATAACCTAAAGACATTAATTAATGAACAGCTATCAACAAAATAAATTTATTAATAGACAATTATAATCTTAATAAATTAAGTAAAGAAATAAAGACTGAAGTAATGAATTACTGAACAAATAAAAACTAAAAATAATAATTAATCTCCACATACAAACCGGAGAAATTCATGAAAATATAAAATAAAGGAATTAATTAACAGAGAAATTAATGAATAAATACCAACATAATAAATTCATTAATAAACAATTAATTTATGAACAAATACAAACTGAAGAAATAAAATAAATAAACTAAAGGAATTAATTAATGAACAATTATAAACTAAACAAATTAATAAAGAGACAAATATATACTACAAAGAAAATAATGAATAATTATCAACAAAACAAATTTATTAATAACCAGAAATACTAAAGAAATAAACTGATGAAAAAAATACGACGAAAGTAATGAATTGATAAACAAATATAGACTAAAGAAATTAATTATTGCAAATATTTAAACTAAATTACTTCATAGACAATTATAATCTAGTGAAATTAATGAACAAATGTATTCTAGATAAATAAATTGATGAAACATTAAAAACTAAATAAATTAACTAATGAACAATTATAGAAAATTATTAACAAATGAACAATATAAACTAAAGAAATTAATGAAAAAATATAAACTAAAAGATTAACGAACAATGACAAAAAAAGAAAAAATTGAATTAATGAACAATTATAAACTAAACAAACATAATTTTTATAATTTATTTTGAGTAAAATACTTTCGTATTTTCTATGTAACTTTGTCATTTCCTAGGCGTCCATATTATCTGAACATGCGCACATGTGACCAGGGTAAACATAGGGGACCGCTATCAAAGTGAGCAATTAAATGAAGCATGTGCATAGCATGCAGCCACTCGACCCGGTTAAGGGTTAAAAATTACCACTTCTAAAAGAAAAAAAATGTCTAAATCTGTGCGAAATACAATGCAAACTCGCTCTGTTCTCTTTATTTACAAATGCTTACTTAGTTTGGTGCAAGGTCACAAGACATTTAATCAGTTATCTATTACTAACCACAGTTGAAGCTTCTTAACTTTCTTGATCAGACCAGATTTGGTGCTTTCAGCATAACTTGATCTCAAAATTGAAGTCCAAAATAATTATGCACACCTTGCTAAACTAGCGAATTACTTGGCGAGACTAGCTTACTAATTATCGCAACATAGTAAATTACTAAACATAGAAGAATTAATAAGTTCGTAGCCCAATGAAGAAGCCATATTTATTTTCTTTATTTTATTTTACACAATAAATATTTGTTTTGATTTTTAATATAATATCATTCCTTTTACAAAAAGTGTCCGCTGACCTGAGATAGAACAATTGTATTGCGTCAATTGCTTCATCCATCGCAAGGAAAGTTGTTTCTCTATGTCGCGCCAGAATCTCGTCTGAGTCCATTCTTTAAATCTATAAATCAACCATTCGCCCTTGCATGGAATACTGCTGTCATATATGGTCTGGAGCCCCCACTGTTCGTCTTAAGGTCCTCGACAAACGGACGGATATGCAATGTGAATGGCCCTGATCTGGCATCTCGTTTACAGTCGCTCTCTCACAGACGTGCCGTCGCTTACCTCTGTCTTTTCTAGAAATACTTTCACGTTAACTATTTCGACGAGCTACTTTCGCTGGTTCCCAGACTGTATGAATTTAAACAAGCTACTAGGTCGGCATCTCAGTCCCACCCTTTCACTGTCGAAACGATTAAATGTAGCCGTCTCTTCTACTCTAATAGCTTCATGTCTCGCACTTCCCATCTGAGGAACTCCCTCCATTTACTTGCTTCCCTGATAGCTATAATCTCCAAATATTCAAATGCAATGTCAATCGACATCTCCAGATGCCTTGGTCTATTCCCCGACCTTCTCTGTATCCTTTCCTCTATCACGCTTCTTTACTCTTGCTCCCACTTTCTGTAAACCCTTCGCGTACTAGGGGAACTCCTACCTTGCTTGAGGTGAAATGCTTAAAAAATGCCTTCTAATATAATAGCATTCACTTTCGCTATAACGCCATTGCGAAAGTTATGAATTCACCTCTCCTCCTCACAGCTGGTAATTAAATCGCAGAGTAGACTGGGCTACCTAGCTCTGGGTAGCAGCCAGCCTAAGAAGAAAGACTCTGGATTCAAAACAGGGGGAAGGAAACGGGAAACTGTTTTCCCCAAGAATTAATGGCAATTTGCAGAAAAAAATATCGGTGGAGACCCATGATTGCCTATGCACTGACGGTCTATGGTGTAAAATTATCATTCCTTCTAAATGCACTTAATTCAACGTTTCGACATATAGAGCGAACATTATATAAATTTTTCTAAGCGAAGCTTAGGTGTAGAACCAGGCCGAAAGTATGGAGCACCTAGTGAGGATCGAACTCACTACTCATTCGTAATTGATCACAAACTTGCTAACCACTACACCACGTCGAAGTACCCAAGCGATTTTCTAACCGTAGCTTAAATGTGCCACAACGCTGAAAGTATTACGCACCAAATGAAGATCGAATTTATTACTTAGTTGTAATTGACCTAGAACTAGTTTGCTAACCATTATACTATAACGAAATGCCCATGTAAGCCTTATATAAAGAAACTTTGAAATGAAAATTCGACTAATAGCTATGAAAGGCTACAAACTTATTGATCCAGCTTCGTCAATCAGTTGTTTTTTGTTTGTTTGTTTTTATATGCTAGCCTTGCAAATAATGATTTATGCGATTGGTTTGGTTTGGTTTGGTTTGGTTTGGTTTGGTTTGGTTTGGTTTGGTTTGGTTTATGACCTATCAACTTCAATGGGTTATTTAATGCCGACAAAATTTTTACTGTTGGCAATATTATTTTTCAGAAATGTATTTCTGGTACTATATTTTTCCTTCAAAAAATCTATTTCTGGTAATATTTTTTCTTCAAAAATGTATAGCTGGTAATATCGTTTTTTCCACAAATGTATGGCGGGTAATATCTTCTTTTTTTTTTTTTTTTCAAAAATATATTGCTTGTAATAATTTTTTTACAAAGTATTTCTAGTATTAAAACCTATTTTTACATCTTCATAGTGTTTTGACCCGAGTTTGCCCAGATTTATATTTGCCCATAACTGGGGCCCTAGCAGGTGCTACCACTTCGGGTCAGGGTGGACATGGGAACACGAGCAATTTAGAGGTCGTTCCACGCTCCTCAAAACCTCCTGATCAGAGGGCTTGCAGTTGGACGTATATATATATATATATATATATATATATATATATATATATATATATATATTTGCTAAATAGCTTCTTTTCTTCGGTGTTTTTTTTTCTTTAAATTATCTCCTTTTCCTCCTCTTTTTTACTCTCTCTCTTCACATTCTAATTCTCACAAGCCATCTTTTTTCTTTTTCTTTTCTTTTTGTCTTTTCTTTCGGTACTCTCTCAATCGGCTTCTTCTATCCTTCTCAATTCCCACGCACATATGCATATATATATATAATGATGTAAGAAATTATAACCATGGAATATTAGTGTTTGAGTTTATATATATATATATATATATATATATATATATATATATATATATATATATATATATATATATATATACTTCATTTTCTTTTAGTTATGGTGTTTGTGGGAGGAAAGTTTTTCGAATCATATAGTTTACCTCTTCTTTGACGCATCGCATGACATCTCTACATTTCTCTCTCTCTCTCTATCTCTCTCACTCACTCACTCTCTCTCTGTCTATCTATCTATTTCTCACTCTCTCTATCTCTCTCACTCACTCACTCTCTCTGTCTATCTATCTATTTCTCTCTCTCTCTCTCTCTCTTCTATTCTTTTAGCACTTTCCTCTCCCCACTGTCTTTCCTTTTCATTTTCTTTGTATCTCTTTCTTATAACCACTAAATCCTTTTCGAATTGCACCTTCGGTGTTTAGCGTTGTCACACGTTACAGCACGCGAAATACCACTTTCAAACATAAAGGCAACACCGTGTGGTTAAGCGGGTAATTATAAAAAGAAGAGCCGCTTTTTTCCATCAACATCTGCTAGAAACACTTAAGGCTGAGGGTAGCTGCATGCTTTTTGTCGGCATTGCTCTAGTCAGTTAAAAATTGATCTCTTGAAACGGCAAAGTTGATTCCTAATGCATTGAGAAAAGAACGTGCACTGACGAACTAGCAAGAAGGCTTTCATTTCTATCACATAACAGGACAAAGCAAAGCATAACACGCAACAGGACGGAGTTCTGACTTGCTACAAGAAAAAAAAAGTGTCGTGGCTCTTCTGGTAAAAGTCTTCTTTTTTTTTCCCAGAAAGCCAAGAATATGAGGATTCCAGAGAGAACTAGACTCGTGACTTAGTAGTAATGTCAACCAAATTAGCTCATTACACCAACCGGAGGCGACTTTTCTTTTCAATTTGTTATAGTTCAATAGTGTACTGCCTCCGCTCAAAGTGAATTTCATATAAAGCTCTCTAATCACGGACTTGAAAAATTGACGCCACACGATCTTTCGAAACGTATCCCGCTATATACTAGACTTTGACTTGGACAAATAAATACTTGTGTAGTGAGTTAGGCCACCGGACACAGATTATTGACTAGAAAACCAGCAGTAGTGATAACTTTTTTGTTTCAAAATGTAGATACATAGAATCTTTGATCAATGAATAACCTCCCTTTCCTCAATATTATTTTTGTTATTTTATTTCATCATCATCATCTACAAGACTTACTGTGGTCATAGGGTTGCTGCGCAGCTAAACACCTAAGCAGTTTTCCCCACATATCTGTGTTGACAGCCGGAGAGGTATTCATTCATGCGTAGCAAGTCTAGGTCAAATTAACCTGGTGGAGCCCATCCCTCTCCAGATAGAAACTTAGCTGATGTCCTCGAACTTGAAGGTTCGTTTTTGTCAAGGACACATAGTCGTTGATTCGATCAGCTGTCATGGCCGTGGACTTCAATCTACCCTACAACGGTCCTCTGGTGGCAACCATAGGAAGGCCAACGGCGGGCCACTAGCGATCCGCAAGTGGTAACATTGCCGAGACGAAGACGTCGGCGGTCCGACATCGGGCCACCAGCGGTAAATACCAGTGGCAGATTGGTGGCTTGCGTGTAGGGTAGGAAGCCCTCCTCCGCCCAGTAATGCCATGTCATCACCACGCTGGCTATGGATCCCAGTCAACTCCCTTTTACTAGGTGGCTATTGACCCTAAAAGAAGGTACATCCACCCTTTTTACGGGTCGTGTTTTACTCCTTCTAGAAGCTATCTTGCTTACCTGAAAGGCATGATGGGGGAACAGGTATAGTCGCCGATAGTACTGCGTTCCATATTACAAGTAACATTCGAAGAATATCTTATGGAATAAATGTTTTATAAAGTTTTAAACTGTCTTTCATTTTACTTTCATTTTGTATTGTTTTATTGAAAACATATTAGGTACTATAGATAAATCTTTGTGAGATAAAACTGCTATTTCACTTACTTTATGATAAATGTGACTGGTACTCATTCAGGCATCAAACTTGTTCTGTCGGAATTTATATCTAATATATAAGTTTATTGAAAACAAAGCCTTCGTTATTCTTAATATAAGAAACAGCATCTTTTAAATATTTTTTCACTAAATCGCAGTAACGTCAGTTGCAAAATCCAGGATTTAGAAGATGATAGAAAACCATTTTCACTAACGCTAATTCTTGACAAGCCATTCCTTCTTGATTTCCACTGCGTAACATTCTAGTTGAGATCCGGAACTAGCGAAAGCAAATTTTATGTTGAACATAAAACTAACAAGTCCAATGTTTAATCGTTATTTTTTTCCTACCACCAGAAATATTTACTTAAATAAGGCTAAATAAAAGACTAAGAGAATAGTCGTAAATTCAAATAGCATCGATAAAAAATATAAAATAAAACAACGACAAACCGAAATGCTTTTTACTTACACCGGGTTCAAACGCCGTTGATGCTTAAATATATAACTTGTTATGGTTGTCAGCAAGCGAAACATTTCAGGATTAGGGGTAAGAATTAGAAATGCCAAAATCAAACAATTAAAGAAGTCTAAATATCTAGCAGGTGCTTTAACAGAGAACGGAAAATAAGACATCCAAAGGCGTATGTGAATAACAGTAGATGCCTTTCAAAAGCCAAACAAAGTATTAAGAAAAAAGAAAATTTCATTAGAAACAAAGAAAAGAATAAAACCGCAGTGCAATATCAACTCTGCTATCTGATAGAGAATGTTGGACAATTTCCTCACGAATGAAGAGAAAACATGAGACAACAGAGATATGGTTGTTCAAAAGAATGCTGAGAGTATTATAGACAGAAAATGTATGTAATGGAAAAGTTTTACGACGGTTATGGCAAACTGAGGTATGTGGGTCACATGCGGCCCGTTTGACTTTCCAAGTGGCACGACCTAATTTCATGAGGAAAATAACGTTTATTAAAACGTTTTTTTGTTTGTTTGTTTGTTTTTTCTTCATTCTAGTTTTTTTCACTCACACTTTCTCATACATAACCACATACAGGGCGCGATGGGTAAATTGTCACCATTTTGTATTTTGAATTTCACGCATGCGCATCGTTTGCTTTTGATTTTGTCGACTACGCAGTACAGTGGGGTCAATTGGGCACCGTCTGGGAAAAAACAGCACCATAACGCAATCGTCTCCGACAGAAATTTGGAAACGGCATTTGACATTTGCGCCGACATTTGCGCAGAGTGTTTGGGTGTCAATCTGAGACAGTGCAGAGGATTCGGAAAGAGTCGGATGAGTGTGATGGTGATTACGAAGGTACGGCAGTTCGGAAAATTCACTCTGATCGTTCTGATTAGAAAAACTTCTGAATTTATTGGTGAGGGCCCCAGACTTAACACTGAAGCCTGCATCAAGTCACTTGAGGAGGTAGTGATGCCCTGGGTCAAGAGGATGGCTGCTGGAAAACCCTATGTCTGGCAACAGGACTCTGCACCATGTCACACAAGTAGGAGAAACCAATCATGGCAATTTCTGCGATCACATCACCCTTACATCTGGCCACCTAACTCCTCAGACTGCAACTCCTTTGATTATTAGGTGTAGGGCTCAGCTGAGCGAGATACCAACAAAACTCCTTGTAACAACAAAAAAGTAACTGAAGGCAATGATCATGGCTGCATTGATCAACTTAAAGAAGGAGACAGTCCAAAAGGGAAGCAGGAGATTTTGAAGTCATCAGGAGGCCATGGTTGAAGCCAATGGCGATTTTATTGAATAAATTTACTCTTTATTATTTCAAGATATTTTTGTAAAATTTTGCTAAATATATCTGTTAAAATGAGATGTCAGTGTCATTTTCATTTTTGCTTAATTTAGACAATTTATCCATCGCAACTTGTACATAAACAATGACTAAGTAAAATGTTTCTTGAATTTTGTAACTTTTCGTTGTGGATAACGATTTCATAATTTTAAACAATTGGCGATTTTCACTAAGGAAGGTAATGCGTGTAAACATCTTTTGCTTTCGATAGAAGACGTTCATAAACTTTTTTCTCTGTAGGAGAAATATTTTTTTAATTTAAAAAACATTTTTATTTTTGAAAGAATAAATAAGAAACAAATTATATGCAAAACTGTGTGTTAATCACTGTCATCTATAATATTCTAGCGAGACTTCATTTTTTTTAATTATTGAGACATATTTTCACCAGAAAACAATCAACTTTTTTCCATTTCTACGACAGATAATAGCGCGTATGGTCTTCCTTAACGAAAATGGCCGAGACTCCTTCAATGAAAAATTACCTTGAATGTTTTTAGTAATGCAGCCCACCATCTCTGAATCGACCCGCTGCTCGGAAACGCCTTATAATTTGCTTTATTAATATGGCTACATACGAAGCTGTCTTCAATAAATTTCTTCACACAAGTAATATTCTGTCAGTATCTTATTTCTTCAGTGTATAGTAATTTTCTTTTCTCGACGTCTTCCTTCTGTAATTTTAAAGTGTCGCGATTTAAGTTTTATTTTCTAAGTAACTTTAGAAAAAATAGAATCAGAATGACAATAAACAAAACACGAAGTAGAAAATTTGCCGACGGGCAAAAACTGTATTATAACAACGAAAGGATAATAGCAACAAGTTTTTGGCGTGTATTTTTTGTTTTTTTGTTTTTTTTAAATCATCATTCCCCTTTTTGGTTTTCTATTCAATGAATGGAATAAAACGTAGAATTCTATTTATTCGTCTAATGAACTTAGCTTTCCATTGTATTCGGCCATTTTGCAATTCTCATCTTTCTCTATATATTATTAATAACTGTTCACCACAATCTCTTTAATTCGAAAATCATATTTTTTTCTAGCCTTTTCTTTTTCTTCTTTCTCCTTTCTTTCACTCTTTAATAATTTTCTTCCTCCTGCTGATCCTCCTCCTTTTTTCTTTCCCTCGTTAATTGTCATCTTATTCCTCTAGCTTTTGCTCCTCCGCCTCTTACTCCTCCTCCTCTTAATCCTCCTCCTTAACTCTGCCTCTCTCTCTCTCTCTTGCAGATTTCTTTCAGTCTTTCTCTTTTCTTCTTTCGCCTACTACTTCTCTTTCTTTCATTCACGCCTTTTTCTTCCTCTTTTCTTTTACTCTTTAATTCTCTTCTTCTTTCTCATTTTTCTTTCAAAGCTTTGAGTCTCTTTTCTTTACCTTTCTTTCATTAATTAATTCTCTTCCTTTTCTTTTACTTTTTCTTTTCCTTTTTCTTTTCCTTTTTCTTTTTCATCTCCACTCTCCCTCTTTCTCTCTCTCTCTCACGCTTCATTTTTGCACTTCCTCAAATTCTCCCCACTCTCTCTATCTTTTTCTCAATCTCCTTCTCTATCTCTCTGTATTTCAATCTATTGTCTTGTTCTCCGACTGATAAAAAGAACTATGTACAAAAATGTACTAATGGAATGTAATTTAAAGATTTTTTTTTTTTGAGAGAGAGAGAGAACTCATAAATTCATCAGAACTGCACTTTACTCCTGAGCAACATTGATACTGTTTCTTTACATCATACCTTTGTTTCCTTTCGCTCTATTCACTCGTATTTCCCGCGATGATAGCCTTTCCGCCCTGAGGCTGGGCGCCATGCGGAATCGAGACTCTGCCCATAGAACTCTCTGCTTAATCAGTTTTACAACGCTGATCTTCAATGGCTCGATGTTGTCATTCCTGATTGGATTATCTTTGGCAATGGTCAGATAGAAACCAAGGATAAAAGGTTCAACTTCTCTGGCTTTTGAGTTCTTCCTTCTGCTTTCTGGATCTTGGCCATTAAGGTCGAAGATTCCTAAATCTTATTATCAATGAAAACACGAAAGTACCATTACGACTGACAGTTATATTAACCAAAAATAATCACACACACACACACACACATACATACATACACACACACACATATATATATATATATATATATATATATATATATATATATATATATATATATATGCATTAGTTGAATGTTCATTGTCGGAGACACCCTTAAAGTATTTTATGACTGATACCCATTTTTACTGAGTAAATTGCAACAAATAACTACTGTATTTTTCGGTATATAAGACGCACTTTTTTATCCAAAAATTTTATATAAACTAAAGGTAGAAATGAATGAAAAATGTAATATCCGATGGACATAAAACCAAAAGAAAGTAAACTACGAATGAATTGTGTACGGATCAAAGATGACGAGTTAATGTATTTTTGATATAGAAGATTTTGCTGACCTTACATTGCGGTTATGAAATGAAAGGCCAGCGAAAACAGGACGAAAAAAAAGATCGACGCTTTTTTTATCATTTCTACCCAGCATAAAGGCACTAAGACGCAAGGTGTTACCGAGTGTGTGAGATTATAAGAAAAAGAAAACATTATCAAGGAAAGAGAACAATAAAAAAAAAACTTAAGAAATGAATTAAGAAGACAAAAAATAACGATTGACATTGCATTTGAATTTTTTGAGATCAAAGTTGACTGGAAATCAAAAACCGAAAGAGAATTCCACAAGCGAGAAGTGTGATGGAAGAAACTGTTAACATAGAACTAACGGTTACATCTATCTTTTTCAATTGTAAAAGAATGAGACCTTACAGCCAATCTAGTACTGCGCTTAAATTCATAAAGTCCAGGTATCATAGAAAAAAGGTTCATCAGAACAATTACCATGAAAGTATTTATAGAAAAGGCACCGAGAATCTACGTGACAGCGTTTCGGAAAGTAACTGAAGCAGAGATGCCAGATCAGCAGCGATAACATTGCAGGTCCTTCTTTGTATTTCATCAAGAATCTCCAAATATATAGCAAAAGCACCAAATAAGATGTGACAATATTCAATGTATGGTTGGTTGATTTTGTTTAGCGGCATATCAACCTCTATGTTTTATTGTTATAACCTAAGGAAGGTTAGTGAATAGAATAATCAAACGAAGATTCGTAATAAACGATAATGCTTAGGGCAAGAACAACACATATAAGATTCGCCAGCGGCGCGTAGAAGTAGTAGTTAACTGCTAGAAGTGAGACAAGTGAATTCTGCAATGAATCTCCAACTCTAGGATATCTACCAGCCGCCCCACGCGGTCAGATGTGGCACAAGGCCGAATTTAAGGTGGAGTATCCAAGCCCGTAGGCTCAGCGAAAAATTCCCCGTAAACCCCGTATAAATCGGGATCGAGTAGCTCTTTCCCGAGACAAGACTGTGCCCTTCAACATAGCCTTGTCTGGGGATTCTCTCTGCCCCGGAGGGAGAAAGTTTGACCAGTACAGCTGGAGACGTATTATTACTGCCGGATATTCACCAACCACCCCACGCGGTCAGATGTGGCACAAGGCCGAATTTAATGTGAGGTATCCAAGCCCGTAGCCTCGGCCAAAGATTCCCCGTAGACTCCGTAGAAAACTGGTTCGGGTAGTTGTTTCCAAGACGAGACACTGCCCTTCGACATAGCCTCGACATAGAAAGAAAGAAAGAAAGAAAGAAAGAAAGAAAGAAAGAAAGAAAGAAAGAAAGAAAGACAGCAGATAATGATTGACATTGAATTAATATTTTTGAATATCAGAGTTGGCTGGAAAACAATAAGCGAGTTCCACAGGCGAGATGTGCGAGAAAAGAAACTCTTAGTATAGAACATACGGTTGTATGTAGCCATTTGTACAATAAAATGATGAGATCGTGCCATCAATGTAGTACTGCGCTTAAATTCATGAAGTGTATGTACTATAGAGGAAAGTTCATCAGAACAATTACCACGAAATTATTTACAAAATAAGCATTTGTAAACACATTGCGATTTACCTTATTGAGTTTTTGTCATAGACCTTTCAGTTAATTTTTAAGATTAATTTCCGATTGAGTATTAACTCTAACATTCACATTGCTTATTGTTATGATTCTCCTAAGGGAGTTAAAAATCGTACCAGGATTTATTTTCGGCTGGCGCAGTATTATCAATATGAACACGCAGATATAACCTGTATGAAAACAGACGGCATGGTTGTCAACAAGAAAAGAAAAAACCCAAGATGGGAACTTCGAATTAGATATGCCAACAACAAACAAATGCAGAAATGTAAATATCTTGGAAGTGTTTTACCAGATGATGGAAAAGGCGACACCGAAATCCGAAGATGCAATGAAATATCCAAAGATGCTTTCCAAAAGCTAAGCAAAGGAAAATTTCACCAGAAACAAAGAAAAGAGTATCGAACTGTTATATAATATTCCGTCTTGAGTATGACTATAAATTACATCGGACAGCAAAGCCTCTGATCAAGAGATTGAAGGTTTTGAGGAGCGTGGAACCACCTCTTAATTGCTGTTGTTCGCAGGTCAACACTGACCCAGGGTGGTAGTACCTGTTAGAGCCCCCAGCTATGGCCAAATAGTTAACCTCTAAATTGGGGTCAAAACGCTATGGAAGTATAAAAATACCAGCAATACATTTTCATTATAAAAAATTACCAGCATTACATTTTTGTAAAAAGAAAATATTGCCAGAGATGCATTTTTGAAAAAGAAAAGAGATTACCAGCAATGCATTTTTGTAAAATAAATGACCGATGCTCCGAAGAAAACTAAATGTCGGCATTAAATGATCCATAAGTAGTTTATATGCCGCTAAACAAACATTATCTACTATTAAACCTCCTATATGGCATTGAATGCCTCATAGATGAAGAGAAAACTAGAGGTAGCAGAAATCTGGTTCTACAGAAAGATGCTGAGAATACCACGGATGAAACGCGGGAGCAACGAATAAGTCTTAAGGAAAATGGATGCAAAAAAGAACACTTATTCTCAGAATCAGAAAAAAAGACATACGAAATTTTTTGGACGTGATGAAGAAAGAAGGCTTCACGAATTTGAAACTCACAGGACATATCAAAGCTATAAAGGACAGCGGAAGGGAGGGCAGGATAACAATGGGACAAATGTTGCTAGGAACTACAAGAGATAGGAGATTGTGGGGAGCCATAATCACCCACGTTCTGAAACGGCACACAGAAGATAAAGACTGAGTGTTATAGAAATATGGGCTAAGGCAGTTTATGATCGGTTTGTAAAAATGCCTGTGCAATGGACATGGATCCACTTCTGCAAAAACTTTGAGGAAATGTCTTGTCACTGATATGCCATGATGGTTGAGGGCGAAGAGGGTGGGTATAGATATGCCTTTGGATATATCAATCCTCCATGGCTTCATTTCCTGGACAGCAATGTCAAACTTGACAGGGTCCAATGAACAAAAAGCGCTATGCATGTTTGCGATAAAAGTTTGAAAACTGGCTTCAACCTCAACTCAAATAATGAATGCTGACGACAGGAAAATTTGCCCGTGTTCGACGTGTACGTGTGCTCTTGTAGTGACTTCGAAAAAAAAGGGGGCTTTTCATGAAGTGGCGTGTGTTTTTTAGTGGATTGCTTGTACAAAGGCGTATCCAATTTTATGAATGGTTGACTATGTTCCGGAGTCTGCGCCACCGTCCACATGCAAGAACCTGCGCAGATTTATCAAAAATAAATAATCTCTTTCCAGCCCTATTCATCATACAAAAATTGATCAATGATTAAAACACTGCGTGGAGAATGTTTACTCGCATTGATTATCGATCTCGTTCGATACTCTATTCATTTCTCTCGCCCTCACTCCGTATGTTTTGTTTTAATCACTTTTTTCCTTTCATTTATTTATCTTTTTCATTCCTTTCTTTCTTTCAATCTATTCTTCTCTCTTATTTTCCGCCACTTCTTCGTTTTCTTTATTCTCTTCTTTATACACGCCACATTTGCCAGCCATTCTGTCAGCCGCCTTTTCACTATTCTCACATTCTTTTCCTTTTAACAGATTATTTTTGCTTTCTTTTCTCTTCTTTCTTTCTATCTTTTTTCTCTTTTTTCTTTCCCTCTTTTTTTTCTCTTCTTTCTTTCATTTCTCGTTTTTCGTTCCCTTCTTTCTTTTCTCTCTCTTTCTTTCCCTCCTTCCTTTTCTCGTCTTTCTTTCCTTTTTTCCTTTCTCTTCTTTCTTTCCCTCCTTTATTTTCTCTTCTTTCTTTCCCTTCTTACTTTTCTCTTCTTTCTTTCCCTTCATTGTTTTCCCTTCTTTCTTTCCATTCCTTCTTTTCTCTTCTCTTCTTTCTTTCCCTGTTTTCTTTTCTCGTCTTTCTTTCCTTTCTTTCCTTTCTCGTCTTTCATTCCCTTCTTTTTTCTCTCTTTCTTTCCCACATTTCTTTTCTCTTCTTTCTTTCCCTTCTTTCTTTTCTATTCCTTCTTTCCCTCCTTTCTTCTCTCTCTTTCTTTCCCTCCTTTCTTTTCTCGTCTTTCTTTCCCTCATTTCTTTTCTCTTTTTTCTTTCCCTCCTTTATCTTCTCTTCTTTCTTTCCCTTCTTTCTTTTCTCTACTTTCTTTCCCTCCTTTCTTTTCCTTTCTTTCTTACCCTCTTTTATTTTCTCTTCTGTCTTTCCCTTCTTTCCTTTCTCTTCTTTGTTTGCCTCCTTTCTTTTCTCTTCTTTCTTTTCTCTTCTTTCTTTTCTCTTCTCTCATTCCCTTCTTTTTTTCGTCTTCTTTATTTCTCTTCTTTCTTCCCTCCTTTCTTTTCTCGTCTTTCTTTCCTTTCTCTTCTTTCTTTCCCTCCTTATTTTCTCTTCTTTCGTTCATATCTTTTTCTCTTCCTCATTTCCAAACTTCTTGTTTCTCCTGCTTCTATTCCGAAACCTCGTTTTATATAAAATGCTCTCTACCTATTCAGTAAATAAAGTACATAATCTTAGCACCAGCCCCGCCTGTTTGTAATGACGGACGAAAATCCGGTCTCCTGCTGATCAAAAATAGAAATAATAATGACGTCTGGATAAATGTACTGCCATATGAATGAAAGCTTCTGTGTGAAGGCGCATATGTGTATGCAAGGCATTGAAGAACATAAACGGCGCGTGTAGCTTCAGTTATAATTTCCACGTGCAAGGCCGGGGTCGCGAGGATAACAAATGACAACATGGCCGACAAAAATGCAACCACCTAACAATTACGATGTGAACAAGACGAAAGGTTTGTCCGTCCGACACTGAATAGACAGTGTAAGAGTGCGGTGTGGTAAGAAACTGATTTCATTAGCTGTATACACACACACACACACACACACACACACACACACACACACACACACACACACACACACACACACAACTAAACTGATATATTCACACGCATGCAATCTGTCTGTTATATAGCTTGTTTCTTGCCTTGGGTCGACAATAATGAGAGAGGTGTGTTCGATATGGCCCTAATTCACACATCTTCTTCTTCTTCTTCTTCTTCTTCTTCTTCTTCTTCTACTACTACTACTACTTCTTAGTGACGTGTCCCTTCAGGAGGTGGAAGACTATAGCTCTCCGCATTATCTTATCCCTTGTAGCCCTTAGCAACGTTCAACACTTTGCTATCTCACCCGCTCCACGTTCCGCTACCTATTTTTACAAGCTTATCAGGTAGGTGGCCTGCTCCCTACCCATCCTTTTTTACCTTTGGTATATCCTGTGAGTATCAATTTCACCAAGCCTTCTTTCTGCATTATGTGTCCAAGAAATTTAAGCTGTCTCTTTTCTCATTTTACGTATAAGTGTCCGTTTTTTATCCATTTTCCTTAAAAGGACTTTGTTACTTCTGCGCCATATCCATGTTATTCTCAGCATTCTTTTTTTGTTTCCTTTTTTTTAAACATTTCACCCCAAACAAGGTGGGAGTGCCACTAATACGCAGGGGGGGGGTACGGAGAATGAAAATGAGACAAAAGACTGGGTTTCGGGAGAATTGCAGAAAATATAAAATGAAGAACGGGGATCAAGGTATCAGAAGATAACGATTGACATTACAGTTAAATTATTGATGATTGTAGTTATCAGGGAAGGAAAGTAGGAGGAAGGGAGTTTCACTGTCGGGAAGTGCCAGAGAAGAAGCTGTTAGAGTAGAAGTGGCGGTTACATTTAACTGTTTTAACAGTAAAAGGGTGGGACTTAGATGCCAATCTAGTATCACGCTTAAATTTATACAGTTGGGGTACCAGTAAAAACAGCTTGTCAGAGCAATTGCCATGAAAATATTTGTAGAAAAGACAGAGGGAAGCCAAATCACTTCTGTCAGAAAGTGACTTGAGTCGAGTTGCCAAGACTAACTACATTGCAGATCCTTCTTTGGATTTCGTCGAGGACCTCGAGATGAACAACAGGTACGACTACATCCCTGTTGCCTTCAGTTTTATTTTCATCTCTGAAGTAATCGTCCAGCATTCAATGCCATATAGGTGGATTACATAACAGATAGATGTTGTATCTTAACAGAAACAGTAATACAAACAAGAGTGTTACAGCAAGAATGTTTGGTCCGACTGTCAGAGCTCTCCAAAGGTAGTATCTGCTCCTATTTATAGCTGGAAGAGTCCACGCGTGCGTGAGTAAATTACCATAACAATAATATACATAGATTGTTTAAAATTTGTCATATTTATGTTTTAAGCGTGCTCAATACCACAGACAGAGTATTTATCGTAATAAGAAATAAAATCGGATTAAAAAGGAAATTAATTTAAAAAATACTGGGCCTACGTTTCCGGTACGACAATGAAGTCTGCAAATGTAGATTCGTAGATGTACATTTCTCAAATAACTAATTGAGGTCTGCTTTATCAAAATGGCTAAATTGTCAGTGACGTGTTTCTGCTATAGGAACGGTGTCTGATGGAAAAAGAGGTTACATGTTCAATTCCTGTCGGAAGGTACATTTTTCTTTAGTAGGACTTCTCGATCTCGAGCTTGATATTATTTTCATTGTTTAAGTAAATTAAAAACATGGATACCAACTCAAACACGTGTACCCCTTAAAAATAACGGCCGAGTATGCGTCTATACAATTTATCACTTAAAACAAAAAGAAGGAAAGTGTATAAATAATACTTTAAGAATCTCTGTCATTAAATTCTGATACAGAATAATTTCTCTAATATTGGTCCAAAGTTAACATACAGTATAATTAACAAGACGACAATATATATATATATATATATATATATATATATATATATATATATATATACACAAATGTTTGGAGGTACAAAATTTATAAATAGTTTTAAAAACTAGGGAAACCATTGATTTTAATATTAAAAGTCTCTAGAGCCCTTTCAGCCAACATCTCATCAGGGAGACAATCGTTGGATCAGCGAAATGGGAATTAATATTTATATTACACGATAAAAAGTATATATACTTGTTCGTTATTTTAGTGTGTTTCCCCCTCTTTTTTTGCTCTTCAATATCGCTATTATTCATTTCGCTGATCCAACGATTGTCTCCTGATGAGATGTTGGCTGAAAGGGCTCTAGAGACTTTTAATATTAAAATCAATGGTTTCCTAGTTTTTAAAAACTATATATATATATATATATATATATATATATATATATATATATATATATATATATATAAGCAAATATATGGATATAGATCCGACAGTATGAAGAAAAATATACTGAAAAAAATAAACAAAAATCCTAATATGCGATTATGCTGTTTTAATGTTTAATGTCAACGTCGGGCACATCGCCCACGTGACGACGACGTGATCATATTTAAACGGAACGCTGATCTCATAAAAGATTTCAGCTATCTGTTTGGATTGGTATTGCTTTTATGTCCATCGTCTTTTTCATGTTGAATTGTATATGGTCTATGTTAATTATGTTTTATGAATATGTCCTGAAGATGGTCTATTAGACCGAAACGTCCGACGTTGACATTAAACATTAAAACAGCATAATCGCATATTAGGATTTTTTGTTTGTTTTTTTTCAGTATTTTTCTTCATATATATATATATATATATATATATATATATATATATATATATATATATATATATATATATGGGGGTGTTTATCATTTTATAAACATTATTTTTAGCGGATACTCATATTTGAGTAGACGCTTCATTTTTTTATAAAACACTAGATCTCTTTATTTACCATCTTGATTATTCGAGAAAGAAAAATATGCGATCTCCGCCAGATCCAACGAGGCTTAACGAAGGAGTCCATTATTAAATAATTAAGCAAGAGACAAACTTAAGGTTCCAGAACTATAATTTATTTCCCTAGAAAATATATTTTTCCTAATTCACATCTCCAGTTACAAAAGGTTTTGGTTTCTTTTATTTGTAATACAAGTTTTTGAGGAATAGCTTTAGATTAATATAAGGTGACAGAGGGGTGGGAGGAGGAGGAGGACCATAGAATGATCTAAATTAGAAATGGAAGTTGGTGATAGGGTTGTATTGAAACCATCTTTAATAAGTTACGTAGGTTCAAGTGTACTCAGTCAAGAGGCCAGACAATCTGATCTCTTAAATAAGTTTTTAAACAGGGAAAAAAAAGAAGCAAAAAAGAAAAAGAAAACAAATTGTAAAGCAAGGGTGGGGTAAGAGGAAGAAGAAAGAGAAAAAGAATTAAACAGGGGAGGGGGAAGAAGAAAGAAAGAATGAGTTATCATATGTAGGTTAGGACCTAACCGTTAGATATATCGTGGTGACACTTGAAAAACACACATCGATAGGATTTATATAGTTAAATAAATAAACTATTAAAGATTACCAGCAAAGTAGGAATAAAATAAAATAAAATATATTAATAATATTATTAATAATATTATTAAACTTGATTAATACAATTTGTAATTAATATAGGACAATAAAGATTATTAACAATAAAATTTTTTTTTAAATTTTAAAAGAAGTTTATAAAAATTAATATTATTAATAACAACTATTATATAAAGGTTAAAAATAAATTTAAAATTTAAAATTTAAAAATAAAATAATAATAAAATTTATAAATGATACAGAAATAATATATCTGATATTAATAATCAGATTACTTACTACTACTACTACTACTAATAATAATAATAATAATAATAATAATAATAATAATAATAATAAGAAGAAGAAGAAGAAGAAGAAGAAGAAGAAGAAGAAGAAGAAGAAGAAGAAATAATAAGAAAGAATAAAAAAAATAAAAATAAAAATAATAAAATAATAATGTTGCTTGGTAAATTTGTTTAGTAACTTTATTTTGATCGGAAATTCTGCAAAGTAAATGAAAAACTTAAATATATAGACGCATACACATACATGTACATATTCTCACACATATAATGATATCTGGCAAAACATACAATTATATAAAGATATTATACAATATTTCAAAATATATCACCTGAAGAAGGCCGGAACGTGCAACGGTCGAAACGTCAAATCCGAACAATAGTCAGAACGATGTAAATAGTGCAAAAGCCATTAGCTTATTATTGAATACATTGTAATTTACTCAGCTTAGCTTAGACTGACACAAGGCCAGAAATAAAGGGCACAAAGGGAGTAATAATGGTCTGTAAGACAAGTTAACAATGACACCGCTGATTGGGAGAGAGAGTGTGTGAAAAAGAGTGGGAGAATGATATTGTAGAACATCTACAGGGTGCGATGGATAAATTGTCGTTTAAATTACGCAAAATTGAAAATAATATTGACATCTCATTTTAACAGATATATTTACTAAAATTATACAAAAATATCTTGAAATACTAAAGAGTAAATTTATTCAATAATATCGCCATTGGCTTCAAATGCAGCCTGCAAACGACTTCGGAATCTCCTGCAACTCTTCTGGTCAGTCTCCTTGTTTAAGTTGGTGAATGCTGCCATAATCCTTGTTCATTTTTGGTGTTACAAGGAGTTTTGTTGGTCTATCGCCCAATTGCGCCCCATGAATAATAATCAAGGGAGTTGCAGTCTAGGGAATTAGGTGACCTGATATAAGGTGTCATGTGGTCGCAGAAATTGTCTGACAACCATGATTGCGTTCTCCTTCTTGTGTGGCATGGTGCAGATTCCTTTTGCCAGACATAGGTTCTTCGGGAAACCACCCTCTTGATTCAGGACAGGACTACCTACCCAAACACTTGATGTAAGCCTCCGTGTTGATTCTGAAGCTCTGTGGGAAGATGAATGGAGGCATAACGTCGCCACCACTAGTTATCACTGCAAAAACCTTCATAATCCCCATTAGACTCATCCCACACTTTCTGAAGTCTCTGCACTGTCCTCAGATTGACACCCAGTCACTTTGATATATTCGTATTGGAGCTTCCGGTGCGAACGCCAAGCAGTATAGCGTGCCGTTTCCAAATTTCTGGCGGAGTGAATTGGATCATTATGCTCGTTTTATCACAGACGGTGCCCAACTGACCCTAATATACTGTGTAGTCGACAACCTCAAAAACAAACAATGCGCATGCGCGAAATTAAAAATATAAAATGGCGACAATTAACGCATTGCACCCTATAAATTTGTGAATAAACTGTCCTTTTTTGTGGTAATCTTCAACGTCGCCCTTTATATTGACTGGTCGTCAGAAGAAGAGGAAAATTTTATAATCTCGTATTAGTCTGTCTTAGAAAATTTATCAATAATGACAATAGAAAAAGAATAAAAGTAATCAGATGGATATTTTTACATGTTTAATGAAATTTCAAATATAAAATTTTGTGAAATATTTATCATTTTATAAAAGTTCATGAAACATGTAAAAATATTCATCTAATTACTTTTATAAATTCTTTTAAATATTAAATTTCTTTGATTTCTACGGAAATCTACACATCGACTAACGTGTACAGTTTCACGAATATGTGTTGTTCTCTTTTCCATTAATTCAATCAATATGGAAGACAAACGACAACTGCCGGAGAGTTTCCATCATGTAGGCCCCTTTTCTTCTCTCATACTTGTTATGCTAGGAAAAAAAGCTAATTGCAACTAATTGTTTATAGTGTTCAGCCACCACTTTTTTCATTTCATCGTACGGCTCACGGATGTTGACATCGAAAAATTAAGGGGAGATAACTTTATCGATTTTGATCCGTTTAAATTGTGTAGTGCTGACGAATTCAAAACACTTTTTGATTCCTTATATAAATAAGAAAAAATCAATCATGCTTTTATAATTCTTTTTTTAATCATCGCTTGTCTGTGCGTTTTAGGGTGTGGTTCTATTATGTTACTTTTGTGTTTACTTTCATCTTGTCACCGTAAATATGTCGCATTAATATTGTCCAATTATCACTTGTCGAGCCTGCATATTTCGATAACCACAAACTGTTCAGACTTTAAACACGGGTTCTTCTTCTTCTTCTTCTTCTTCTTCTTCTTCTTCTTCTTCTTCTTCTTCTTCTTCTTCTTCTTCTCTAAATGTATGGCGGAACGAGAGGCAGGAGCCTTAGCAACAATAGCGTGCAGAAAGTGGGGCAGAGATTGCGAGGACACGGGCATCCATATCGGGAAGACATCCAATCAAAGGGTGAAATAAAAATCTAGTTTATATTTAATTTGAATAGAGTGTTTATTTCAAGTTCCATCTGTTTTTACATATTTAAAATGTCTTCCTTTCTTACATTTCTCAGTCCAACGTCCTACAAGTCCCCTACTTGAATCTTAGGGGCATACAATCAAGAAGTTGGCCCCGGGGTATCACCAAAACACTGCACTTCATTGGATAGGAAAGGGAGAAAAACTGCTAGGTCTCACAAGGGATAGGAGGTCTTGGAGAGTCATGTTCGTCCATGCCCTAAAGGAACACAGCACAAAGAAGAAGAAGAAGAAGAACATCAACAACAACAACAGCAACAACAATAACAACAACACGGTTCAATGTTTATCAGGTCAGAGAGTTGCTGTAGTTTGATTTTTTTTTATCTCAATGCAATTGACAGAATAAAAATTTAAACATTCTATCCAATTCTTTTTACTCTATTTGCTAGAGAATTATCTTGTCTATATTGCTAATATTTTGCGAGATGAATGTTCAAACCTTTCCGTTTCGTTACATTTTTCCCCTTTTTTATTATAGCTATCAGTTTCCTCAGAAAGAAGACTGTAGTATCTCTTGAACAAAAAATAATTTTAATATTGGCTCTTTCACTATGTTGATGGCAGACACAGAAAGAAAACTACAGGACCTCTTACACAAGGTAGTAAAGAAAAGTGAGTAGAAAGGACTAACTATCATTTATAAGAAATGTATGATTGTCAGCAAGAGAAAAAAAAACAAGGTGTGAGCTACAAACTGGAGTGTTTAAACAGAGGATGGAAAATGTGACACCGAAATAGAAGTATTGTTTACTCGAGGATATACCAGACAGGCCAGAAATATTGTTTACTCGAGTGTATACCAGACAGTCCAGAAGTAATTTTTATTCGAGGGTATACCAGACAGGCCAGAAGTATTTTTATTCGAGGGTATACCAGACAGTCCAGAAGTATTTTTCATTCGAGGGTATACCAGACAGGCCAGAAGTATTTTTTATTCGAGGGTATACCAGACAGTCCAGAAGTCATTTTTATTCGAGGGTATACCAGACAGGCCAGAAGTATTTTTATTCGAGGGTATACCAGACAGTCCAGAAGTATTTTTCATTCGAGGGTATACCAGACAGGCCAGAAGTATTTTTTATTCGAGGGTATACCAGACAGTCCAGAAGTCATTTTTATTCGAGGGTATACCAGACAGGCCAGAAGTGTTTTTATTCGAGGGCATACCAGACAGTCCAGAAGTATTTTTTCATTCTGAGGGTATACCAGACAGGCCAGAAGTATTTTTTTTATTCGAGGGTATACCAGACAGTCCAGAAGTCATTTTTATTCGAGGGTATACCAGACAGGCCAGAAGTATTTTTTATTCGAGGGTATACCAGACAGGCCAGAAGTATTTTTTACACGAGTGTATACCAGACAGGCCAGAAGTAATTTTTATTCGAGGGCATACCAGACAGTCCAGATGTATTTTTTACACGAGTGTATACCAGACAGGCCAGAAGTAATTTTTATTCGAGGGTATACCAGACAGGCCAGAAGTAATTTTTATTCGAGGGTATACAAGACAGGCCAGAAGTATCTTTATTCGAGGGCATACCAGACAGTCCAGAAGTATTTTTCACACGAGTGTATACCAGACAGGCCACAAGTAATTTTTATTCGAGGGTATACCAGACAGGCCAGAAGTAATTTTATTCGAGGGTATACCAGACAGGCCAGAAGTATTTTTATTCGAGGCATACCAGACAGTCCAGAAGTATTTTTTACACGAGTGTATACCAGACAGGCCACAAGTAATTTTTATTCGAGGGTATACCAGACAGGCCAGAAGTAATTTTTATTCGAGGGTATACCAGACAGTCCAGAAGTATTTTTATTTGAGGGCATACCAGACAGTCCAGAAGTATTTTTTACACGAGTGTATACCAGACAGGGCATAAGTAATTTTTATTCGAGGGTATACCAGATAGGCCAGAAGTAATTTTTATTCGAGGGTATACCAGACAGTCCAGAAGTATTTTTATTCGAGGGCATACCAGACAGTCCAGAAGTATTTTTTACACGTGTGTATACCCGACAGGCCAGAAGTAATTTTTATTCGAGGGTATACCAGACAGGCCAGAAGTAATTTTTATTCGAGGGCATACCAGACAGTCCAGAAGTATTTTTTACACGTGTGTATACCAGACAGGCCAGAAATAATATTTATTCTAGGGTATACCAGACAGGCCAGAAGTAATTTTTATTCGAGGGTATACCAGACAGGCCAGAAGAATTTTTATTCGAGGGCATACTAGACAGTCCAGAAGTATTTTTTACTCGAGTGTATACTAGACAGGCCAGAAGTAATTTTTATTCGAGGGTATACCAGACAAGCCAGAAGTAATTTTTATTCGAGGGCGTACCAGACAGTCCAGAAGTATTTTTTACACGAGTGTATACCAGACAGGCCACAAGTCATTTTTATTCGAGGGTATACGAGACAGGCCAGAAGTAATTTTTATTCGAGGGTATACCAGACAGTCCAGAAGTATTTTTATTCGAGGGCATACCAGACAGTCCAGAAGTATTTTTTACACGAGTGTATACCAGACAGGCCACAAGTAATTTTTATTCGAGGGTATACCAGACAGGCCACAAGTAATTTTTATTCGAGGGTATACCAGACAGGCCAGAAGTATTTTATTCGAGGGCATACCAGACAGTCCAGAAGTATTTTTTACTCGAGTGTATACCAGACAGTCCAGAAGTAATTTTTATTCGAGGGTATACCAGACAGTCCAGAAGTAATTTTTATTCTAGGGTATACCAGACAGGCCACGAGTAATTTTTATTCGAGGGTATACCCGACAGGCCAGAAGTATTTTTATTCGAGGGCATACCAGACAGTCCAGAAGTATTTTTTACTCGAGTGTATACCAGACAGGCCACAAGTAATTTTTATTCGAGGGTATACCAGACAGGCCAGAAGTAATTTTTATTCGAGGGTATACCAGACAGTCCAGAAGTATTTTTATTTGAGGGCATACCAGACAGTCCAGAAGTATTTTTTAAACGAGTGTATACCAGACAGGCCATAAGTAATTTTTATTCGAGGGTATACCAGATAGGACAGAAGTAATTTTTATTCGAGCGTATACCAGACAGGCCAGAAGTATTTTTATTCGAGGGCATACAAGACAGTCCAGAAGTATTTTTTACTCGAGTGTATACCAGACAGTCCAGAAGTAATTTTTACTCGAGTGTATACTAGACAGGCCAGAAGTAATTTTTATTCGAGGGCATACCAGACAGTCCAGAAGTATTTTTTACTCGAGTGTATACCAGACAGGCCACAAGTAATTTTTATTCGAGGGTATACCAGACAGGCCAGAAGTAATTTTTATTCGAGGGTATACCAGACAGGCCAGAAGTATTTTTATTCGAGGGCGTACCAGACAGTCCAGAAGTATTTTTTACACGAGTGTATACCAAACAGGCCACAAGTAATTTTTATTCGAGGGTATACCAGACAGTCCAGAAGTATTTTTATTCGAGGGTATACCAGACAGGCCAGAAGTATTTTTATTCGAGGGCATACCAGACAGTCCAGAAGTATTTTTTACACGAGTGTATACCAGACAGGCCACAAGTAATTTTTATTCGAGGATATACCAGACAGGCCAGAAGTAATTTTTTATTCGAGGGTATGCCAGACAGTCCAGAAGTATTTTATTCGAGGGCATACCAGACAGTCCAGAAGTATTTTTTACTCGAGTGTATACCAGACAGTCCAGAAGTAATTTTTATTCGAGTGTATACCAGACAGTCCAGAAGTAATTTTTATTCTAGGGTATACCAGACAGGCCAGGAGTAATTTTTATTCGAGCGTATACCAGACAGGCCAGAAGTATTTTTATTCGAGGGCATACCAGACAGTCCAGAAGTTTTTTTTTACTCGAGTGTATACCAGACAGGCCACAAGTAATTTTTTATTCGAGGGTATACCAGACAGGCCAGAAGTAATTTTTATTCGAGGATATACCAGACAGGCCAGAAGTATTTTTATTCGAGGGCATACCAGACAGTCCAGAAGTATTTTTTACACGAGTGTATACCAGACAGGCCAGAAGTAATTTTTATTCGAGGGTATACCAGATAGGCCAGAAGTAATTTTTATTCGAGGGTATACCAGACAGGCCAGAAGTATTTTTATTCGAGGGCATACCAGACAGTCCAGAAGTATTTTTTACTCGAATGTATACCAGACAGTCCAGAAGTAATTTTTATTCGAGGGTATACCAGACAGTCCAGAAGTATTTTTATTCGAGGGCATACCAGACAGTCCAGAAGTATTTTTTACACGTGTGTATACCAGACAGGCCAGAAGTAAATTTTATTCGAGGGTATACCAGATAGGCCAGAAGTAATTTTTATTCCAGGGTATACCAGACAGGCCAGAAGTATTTTTATTCGAGGGCATACCAGACAGTCCAGAAGTATTTTTTACTCGAGTGTATACTAGACAGGCCAGAAGTAATTTTTATTCGAGGGTATACCAGACAGGCCAGAAGTATTTTTATTCGAGGGCATACCAGACAGTCCAGAAGTATTTTTTACTCGAGTGTATAACAGACAGTCCAGAAGTAATTTTTATTCGAGTGTATACCAGACAGGCCAGAAGTAATTTTTATTCTAGGGTATACCAGACAGGCCAGGAGTAATTTTTATTCGAGCGTATACCAGACAGGCCAGAAGTATTTTTATTCGAGGGCATACCAGACAGTCCAGAAGTATTTTTTACTCGAGTGTATACCAGACAGGCCACAAGTAATTTTTTATTCGAGGGTATACCAGACAGGCCAGAAGTAATTTTTTATTCGAGGGCATACCAGACAGTCCAGAAGTATTTTTTACTCGAGTGTATACCAGACAGGCCACAAGTAATTTTTTATTCGAGGGTATACCAGACAGGCCAGAAGTAATTTTTATTCGAGGGTATACCAGACAGGCCAGAAGTATTTTTATTCGAGGGCATACCAGACAGTCCAGAAGTATTTTTTACTCGAGTGTATACTAGACAGGCCAGAAGTAATTTTTATTCGAGGGTATACCAGACAGGCCAGAAGTGTTTTTATTCGAGGGCATACCAGACAGTCCAGAAGTATTTTTACTCGAGTGTATAACAGATAGTCCAGAAGTAATTTTTATTCGAGTGTATACCAGACAGTCCAGAAGTAATTTTTATTCTAGGGTATACCAGACAGGCCAGGAGTAATTTTTATTCGAGCGTATACCAGACAGGCCAGAAGTATTTTTATTCGAGGGCATACCAGACAGTCCAGAAGTATTTTTTACTCGAGTGTATACCAGACAGGCCACAAGTAATTTTTTATTCGAGGGTATACCAGACAGGCCAGAAGTAATTTTTTATTCGAGGGTATACCACACAGGCCAGAAGTAATTTTTATTCGAGGGTATACCAGACAGTCCAGAAGTATTTTTTAAACGAGTGTATACCAGACAGGCCATAAGTAATTTTTATTCGAGGGTGTACCAGACAGGCCAGAAGTAATTTTTATTCCAGGGTATACCAGACAGGCCAGAAGTATTTTTTACTCGAGTGTATACCAGACAGGCCAGAAGTATTTTTTATTCGAGTGCATACCAGACAGTCCAGAAATATTTTTTACTCGAGTGTATACCAGACAGGCCAGAAGTAATTTTTATTCGAGGGTATACCAAACAGACCAGAAGTATTTTTATTCGAAGTTATACCAGACAGGCCAGAAGTATTTTTTATTCGAGTGTATACCAGACAGGCCAGAAATATTGTTTACTCTAGTGTATACCCAACAGCATCGAAGTATTTTACTTGAGGATATACCAGACAGGCCAGAAGTATTGTTTACTCTAGTATATACCTGACAAGATTGAAGTATTTTTACCCTAGTGTATATCAAACAAGCTAGAAGTATTTTTACTCCAGTGTGTAATAGACAGGTTAAGAGTATATTTCTATCCTGTCGGGTATACACTATAGTAAAAATGGTTCTAGTCTGTTTGATATACTCTTTAGTAAAAATATACATTTATCTTGTCTGATATCCACTAGAGTAAAAAATACTTCTAGCCTGTTGATTATACACTCGAGTAAAATGGTTCTAACCTCTCTCACTAAAGTAAACAAAATACTTCTAACATAACTGATATACCTTAGAGTAAAAAATACTTCTAAACTGTTTGCTATACACTACGGGGAAATAAAATTATTCTGATTTGTCTGTTATAGGCTAGAATGAAAAATACTTATAAACTGTCTGCCACACAATAGGTTAAAAATTCTTCTAATCTAACTGGTATATATCAGAGTGAAAATACTTCTAAAATGTCTGCTAAACATGCGAGTAAATAATATACTTCTAATTTGTTTGGTATACACTAGAGTAAAAAATACTTCTAAACTGTCTGGTATACAGTAGTGTAAAATACTTCTAACATGTTTGGTATACACTAGAGTCGAAAA